AAGAAAATATATATATATATGTGTGTGTGTGTGTGTATGTATACATATAAAGATCAATGTTAGTATTTTACTAATAATCTTAAAAATTCTTATTTTTCTTATTAGTCTTCTTATTTAGCTTATTCTGTAAGTTAAATACATACTCAGGAGAAATCAACTCTTCCCTATTCATTAGAATTTCTCTTTTTCCCTTTGTCTTGTATTCATTTTTTTTGTTCTGTGAAGTTTATTTATTGAGTAATTAGTGTTAGGCACTGGGGATAGAGAACAAGATAGGCAACATTCTGTCCTTAAGAAATATACTGTACTTCCTTGTCTGAGAGACAGAACACAGAAATAAATAAGATGATGTCAGATATTGCTAACAAAAGGAGTAATTAGGACAGTGTGGCCCTAACACATATGGAATTGAGCAAGATTATACCTGGAGGACTACAAATGTTTAAATATTTATCAAAACATTTGAATATTTAAAAGTTGTAAATCAAGCCACATCCTTGGCCCAACCTGATTTCCTACACAGCATCTTGGGTTGCCAGCAGCCTATACCCTCAAGACCCAGAGGCTAAAGGAACTGCTCTCTCCTCCCATCCATCCTTGTAACCTGCCTGATTGAGTGGTAGTATGGATCTGTTGGGGCAGGGCTGGGATGATTGTGGTGGTACCTAGACCCATCTAAAAGAGTATATTAGCAGATCCCGCCAAGTCTCCAGGAATCTGGTTACAGGGAAGTTTGCCTCTCCAGTTCATTGTTTTTTCAACTCAAGTCTTCTAGGAAGTTGTAAGCCCTTCTTAATGTTGCACTACCAGAAAAGGGGATGCAGGTATCTGGGAAACCTGGCTTGCCTGGGTATTCAGTTTGCTTTATTTGGGGCAACGAACTTTAACGGAATAAAGCTTTTATAAGCAGCCACTCTTTCTAGGATTTCTTATTGCAGAAGTTTTGTTCATTTTCTCTGTCATACATACTTGAGCACTCAGAGTTCTTTATCCTCTGGCCAGCGGGGCCTCATTCAGCTGGCACCTCTTTCTTGTAATTGTCATTTGCTCAGTTGATTACAGAACTTTCAAAAATGTTCTTACAAGGAAAGGAAGAAAAAACATCTGTTTTAGTGCTTGGGGTATACAGGACTCTCTAAAGTGCAGGCCCCTGGAAGAGGCTGTTCGTGCCCAGGTCTAAGGATGATATTGGGACTGTGGATGGAGGTGACCATACACTAGCCTTTTACATGCTCTTCCACTTCTCCCTATCCTGCTCTTCTTCCTAGTTTCTCACTCAATTTATTTTAATTTATAAATTTGTTTGATCTGTAAAACTAAACTGGTATCACTTGGGATACCTATATCTGAAAAGTAAGCTCCAAATGAAAATGAACATTTTCCAGAAAGTTTTTTGGTAAGATTTTAAATAGCAATGACTAGTTTTCCAGTCTCACTCTCCTTCCCCCACAGGGGCAAACTGTTCAGATGTGTTGTAGATTTGAACCTTGGCTTAAATGTTATGTTTTATTTCTCTCCTTACAGCTGTGAAAGTTGTGTAGATTTACTGTTTGTGAGAGGAGCTGGAAACTGTCCTGAGTGTGGTACTCCACTTAGAAAGAGCAACTTCAGAGTACAACTCTTTGAAGATCCCACTGTTGATAAGGAGGTTGAGATCAGGAAAAAAGTGCTAAAGATGTAAGTATTCCTGCTCGAATGATTCAGTCAACAAAGAGGACTTTAACAATTATGTCAGTAATTTATTATTATTTCCTCATAAATATGGACGAGTAGCAGGTATATAAGTATAAATTCATTTAAGTTCTTAGAGAACTGAGTAATATTATTTATCATTGTTAAAGAAGAGCCTCTTGATTGATGGCTTCATTATTCATTTGTATTTGTTTTTTGATTAATAAACATGTATTGAGTACCTACTATGTGTAAACACTGTGTTATGCATGTTAGGCAGTAGTTACAAAGTGATGAGTAAAACAGCTATGAACTCTGTCCTCATGAGACTTACCGTACAGTAGCACAGGATAGCAAAAAGACAAAAAACAGGTAAACCAAAACAAATGTTATTTATTATAGATTGAGAATAGTGTTATATAGTTAGTGGTCAGTGTTGCTGTGGTCAGTGATGTCAGATGTGGGCTGAGGAGGTAACATTAAGTTGAGGTTTGAAGGCTGTTAGAGAAAATCATGTATTAGCTGTAGTTTATTTTGGTATGTATATTTTTATGTATATATACATACACATATGGGCATAGTATATATATGTGTGTATATATGTGTATATATACCTATATATTATTAATCTGTCTTTTTCATGTACAATTTAGGCTTTACTTTTTACTCTTTGTTAATAGTTTTGGGTTTCTTTTTATCCATTCTTTTATTATAAGAAATAATTGATATATTTATTTTCCTTTTTGGTAGTAAACATTTCAACCCAGGTAATCAGTGTTTTAGCAGCATCTTTCTAGGTACATAACCAATGGTACTTTATCAGTGCCCCTAGCGGCTCTTTTATTGTTTGTATAACTTCTGCAAAGTAGTCTCTTAGATTTTGATCTTTCATTGTTAATTCCTTGCAATTTACTGATTCTTCCCAGGTACATTACAATATTTAAAGATTTTCTTGATCTAGCATTTTTTAGACTATGTCATAAAAATGGAGGAGTCGCTTCAATTTTTTTTTGTGTTTTGGAAATCAGTGAATCCCTTATAAGTAAATAATACCATAATTTCCGCTGATATGCCTTGCTTAAGCTCATTTCCCAATCTTTCAAGCTCCCAATTTATCTTTCCCTGAAGTCTTAACAAGGATTTTGCATATTGTACCATTTTCTCCTGATCCTACTTCTCTGTAGTCATAAGAATTTAAGAATTGCATTTTTGGTTTGGTTACAAACCTGGTGTCAAGAAAACAGTATTTTAGTCTGGGCGCAGTGGCTCATGCCTGTAATCCCAGCACTTTGGGAGGCTGAGGTGGGTGGATCACTTGAGGTCAGAGTTTGAGACCAGCCTGGCCAACATGGTGAAGTCCCATCTTTACGAAATACAAAAAGTATTAACTGGATGTGGTGGTGTGTGCCTGTAATAATCCCAGCTACTCGGGAGGCTGAGGCAGGAGAATTGCTTGAACCAGGGAAGTGGAGGTAGCAGTGAGCCAAGATTGTGCCACTGCATTCCAGCCTGGATGACAGAGCAAGACTCCATCTCAAAAAATAAAAATAAAAAAATAGAGAATGATGTTTTACACAGTAAGCAACTCTTTTCCTTGTATCATATATGAATTAGGTAAGAACAAGTAAACCAGTTAGATAATATTAAAAGCAATGATATGTAATATGTAGATTTTTTTGTTTTCTTAAAGATACAATAAAAGGGAAGAAGATTTTCCTAGTCTAAGAGAATACAATGACTTCCTGGAAGAAGTGGAAGAAATTGGTATGTTTTTAATTTGATGTATGCTAGCCTATAAGACCATGTGCTTTTATCTTTTAAATGCTTAGGAGAACATCTCACATAAAAACCTCTTAATAGGTTTAGTTGTGATAGCTAACATTTACCTAATTACTTTCTTTTGCACTTGAGTTGTGTTTGTCAAATTGAAGGCATACTTAGGTAAAGAACCTATTTAATATTTTGTCTCTGGAAAAATACGTTTAATAGAGGTAGTAACACTTTGTAGCTGGGGAGGAAGACTATATGGGTACATACATCTGTATGTTGATAACATGTTAGAGTAGTTTAAATGAAGGAAAGCATATTCCGATTTTTCAAAAATGGGGTTCCTATTAACCATATTTATAGTGACTAAAGCCATATGTTTATCATTATTTGTGCTTCTGTGGATATAGTAGTCTTAAAGTACTTTGAAGCAGTTGACTGTTGAAGTGGCATTCTATTAATCAGTGTTTTTCTTGAATCAGAGGTTGGAGTAATCTTTGTGTCTTTTCTTTCTGATGTGTTTAGTCAAAAGGAAGATTTTGTCTAATGATTTCAGTTTTCTTAAAATTTCAGAGATGTTAAAAACTTTGGAAGTTGTTATATATTGATTTAAAAAAAATGCTGCTTTTTAAAGTTGCAATAATTATTACTAAGTGCGGGTTTGGAAATGACACAAAGATTATATACTGTGAAAATTAGAATGAGACTATGAAGATCAAACAAGAATCATTTTTATTCTTTCAAACTTGATAGGTAACTGTACTCAATATTTACTATTAAAAATAAGATTATAATAAATGAATCATTCTTTAGAAGATTAATACATGGTAAACTTAAAAAATTCACATTCCTGAAGAATAATAAATATTCTAATTCCTTTAATTTCTTTACTAGAAAATCCAGAAAATCTTTTTGTTTCAACTGTTACCTGAAACTTTTCTCATATGTCTAAGTTCATTTGTTATGCCATAGCAAAAACATATGGAAAACATAATTTAGGGTTTCTCAGGGATCTTTCAGTGCCATAAGAGCCACTGCTTTTCCATTCTGCGCGTACTCATTGCACTTTGTATGTTATCTTAGCATCATGAGTGACTATGGATTTTAGCTGAAAAGATGGTAGAATTGGGAGTGACAAGGCAAAGTGGAAAAGTTAGAATGTAGACTGAGAAGAAAAACCAGAAAGAAATCTACAAGAACTGGGCAAGTATGAAGGTATGTAGAAATCTGGCTCTACATAGATGTTAAGTATAGGACAAGCTGTTGGATAGCAATTGGGAAGAAAAGTAGCTTACGTGTATTCTAAAGGTAATGTGATTAGTCAAAAGTCTGGTCAAGCAATAAAAGAAAAGGAGATTATAGATGCTGCAGTACAAGTTGAATACATGTTCACAATTCTAAGCAGGCAGTCAGGATAACTAAAAGAAACTGATGTACAGAGAAGGTGAGGAATAGGTTTAGGGGATGAACTACAAGGAGATCTTGATTCTGGGATTAAGGTTCTGACTGAGCTGTGATTAAAAAAAAAAAAAAATATATATATATATCTTGCTCCAAGATAAATTAATTTGAAGGTATGGACAATATGGGGCCCATAATTGGTACTAGAATTGATAGGCAAGAGCAAGTCTGGATGTTAGAGGGATACAACATGTAATGCTTTCTTTACCAAAATATAGAAACTGTGGCTCAGACCATTTAATTTGAAAGTGATTCTGCTATTACGTATATTCATGAAGGACTGTCTTCAGTTGCAGTATCGGAAAACTCTCTTAACCAATTTCCACTTAATTGTCTCGTTGAAGTAACTGACATTCCCCAGTTCTTCCATAAAATGTACTCACTGATAACCACAGCATAATGAATGCATTGTGAATGCTGTCAACCTTCTTATGCCAGTTGTACTTGTTATTGTAGTTACATAATTAAATACATATTTAAATATTATATGTAATTTAAATATTTAAAGTTAAATCGTGTGTAAAGTTGGGGAAAAACTTGTAAAACTCTAAAGGATTCTGCTTCTCAGGTTTTTAAGTCACTTCTTAAAAAGTGGAAATTGGCCAGGTACAGTGAGGGAGGCCAAGGCAAGAGGATTGCTTGAGCCCAGGAGTTTGAGATCAGCCTGGACAACATAATGAGACCTATCTCTACCAAAATTTAGAAAATTAGCTGGGTGTAGTGGCACACGCCTGTAGTTCCAGCTACTTGGGAGGCTGAGGTGGATCGCTTAAGTCTAGGAGTCCAAGGCTACAGTGAACCATGGTTGCGCCACTGCACTCCAACCTAGGCAACAGAGCATGACCATGTCTCAAAATACCAAAAAAACAGACAACAAAAAAGGAAACTGAACAATATAGATGACAATTATGGCCTATATAAGGAAGAAGCAAAACTCTAATTAAAGGCTAGAATTTGCTGTATGTCAGTAAGTTAGAGAATGACTATATACTTACTATGTATGTTTTAAGTTAAAGTATTTGAAGAGAGAGACAGGTGTATGTGTGTGTTTCCCTCCTTTAACAGACCTATTTAAATAATCAACTATAAATCCTCATTGTGTTGATTAAAGAGTGGTTCTACTCTATTTAAAGATATTGATGATTTTTGGGAAGTAACCTCTTGGATTTATAGTTTATTTTCTGAACTTCAGTTCAATTCAGTAAGTTTTTAAATTATGTTATGTGAACTGCTTTATTGATGGAGATATGTGGTATTGGTCCTCAATAAGCTCAGACTCTAAAGGGGGAGATAATTATGTTAACTAATAACTATAATTTAATGTGATAAGTCTTATAAATAGGCATTTATAAAATGCTATGGGAATACAGATAAAGCAATTAACCTAGAACTGGGAAATAGAGATATGGTTTGGTGAAGTTCAGAGAAGAGATGACATATGAGTTTGATCTTAAAAGAGGAAGAGGAGTTAACCAGATAGAAAGGGCTTAGGAAAACATTTGTAACAAAAGAAAAAGGCACCGAGATAGAAAAATGTGGGGCATGTTGGAGAATGAGCAAGTAGTCTGTTATAGGTAGATAAAACATGAGGGGTGACTAAAAATGAGGCCTGAAAAACAGGCTGGATTAAGAAGGCCTTAGTACCATAGACAACAAAAGCAAAAATAGACAAATGGGATTATATCAAACTAAAATACTTCCTCACAGCAAAAGAAACAAAAGAGTGAAGAGATAATCTACAGAGTGGGAGAAAATATTTGCAAACCAGAAATCTGATAAAGGGTTAATCTCCAAAATATATAAGGAACTCAACTCAGTAGCAAGATAATACTTCATTTAAAAAATGGGCAAAGGACCTGAATAGACATTTCCCAAAAGAAGACATACGAGTGGTATATGAAAATGTGCTCGGCCGGGCACGGTGGCTCATGCCTGTAATCCCAGCACTTTAGGAGGCCGAGGCGGG